CTCCTGACGTATCATTCTCTCATCATCCTTCCGTCCCTCTCATCATCCTTCCCTCCCCCTCATCATCCTTTCCTCCTTTCTAATCCTCCTCCCTCTCCCTCTCTCTTTCTTTCTCTCACTATCCTCTCCCCCCTCTCTCATCATCCGTACCATCATCCTGAAGGTACATGATCCACCATGATGTAAAATGATGATGGTGGTGGTGTGATCCGGCCAAGGGGGGACTGGAAGGGGGGTCGGTGAAAAGGGTGAGGGGGTGTTGGGAGGGGGGTGTGGTGAGGGCCCTATTACCTTGGTCCATCAGTCAGGCTTAAGACGGACACGCCTCAACAGCAATTGAGAGAGAGAGAGAGAGAGTAAAATCTTTTAAAAATCACATTACCCACGATTACTCAAAACAATCACACACACACACACACACACCTGGACTCTCATCTAATAAACATGTAAAATAAATGACCAAGTTTCGGTGATTCATGTTGGTAAGTAATTAACTCTGGCCTCGTCATTATATATTCTGTTATAACGAGAGAACGTGGTTTATGTTCTCGTGTTAAAAGTATATCTGACAGTAGTAGAGTTCACACACACACACACACACACACACACACACACACACACACACTAAAAAGAATATGTATGTTCGTGATAGAATATTTTATGTACGTAAAAGAAAAAGGAAATATCCCCTCAGTTCAACGTTGTAAATATAAGATTTTTTTTAGCCCCTCTCGTATGTTGTGCTGTTGATGATTTTTTTAAAGCATTATTGACCGAGGAAAATACAGTTCAGGTTTCATTATTCATACGAGTTTTTTATCTACGTCCATTTTATATATTTTTTTAAAATTTTGTATTGCGAATATTGTTTTTTTTATTGTTTTCTTACGTCATTTTTGTTGTAACCTTAATAAATGTTTTTTTTGAACCTAAATAAATGTTAAAATTTCACTAAATCTTTCACAATACCGAGTGAAATTTGTCAGGACCTGTTTGACATTTTAATAAGATTGATGATGATATGAATAACAAAGTAGAATGTAGCACTGAACTGCCTTCACTGTCGATAACCAGTGAATTATTTAGCCGCAGGAAAAATTATGCCGACTTTGTTGTTGAGCTGCTCAGGTGACAGGTGTGTGTGTGTCAGGGCCGGATTCAGGAGTGGGCAAAGTGGGCAGCTGCCCGGGGGCCTCCACAATCTGGGGTCCTCCACATATTACAATATTTTATTTATTTGTTTACTCATTTGGGTTATTTTTATTTTCATTCTTTAAAATTCATGTTTATCTATCACTTGTGTGTGTGTGTGTGTGTGTGTGTTGGGAATTTGTACACTATCAATAGATATACAGTTAATTAAAATTTTCTCAATGTTCTAATTTCCTCAATATAACTGCATATGGCTTCAAAATTCTCCAAAGAAGTGTTCAAATTTCAAAATTTTCCCGAGGGGCTTACAGCGCCCCCCGGAACTCCCAGATGTTTAGGCTCGCTTCACTCGCCACCCCACCCTCTTGGGTAGTTATAATGAGGGGGCCTCCACTAAGAGGCTGCCCATGGGCCTCCACAGATCTAAAGCCGGCACTGGTGTGTGTGTGTGTTGGAAAGAGTAAAAAAGAATTAATAGTAAAAAAGAATAAAAACGTGAAAAAGGGAAAAAGTGCTGAATATAATCAATAAAAACAAAAAAATAATAAGTGATAACTAAAGAGAATGAAGGACAGGCAAGAACGAGAAAAGACGGAACTTAAATTACAAAGTTTCTTATCTCCCTGTACTACTAACACTTTCTACTCCCTTTCTCCCCCTCCCCTTTTATCTCTCCTTCTTCCTCCCCCTCCCTCGTCCACCTCCTCATGTCCCCTTTCCTCCTCGTCATGTAACAAAAATACAGTTCTTGACATAACCAAGATTGGAAGCTTCCTGTACTGTAAGCGAGCTGGTGAAGGAGCCCCACACATTAGCTGCCTGACCTAAACTCGATTGAGAAATATTATCTTGTTGTATCGTCAATTCTTTCTTTTATTCTTCTTTTTGTCTGAATATTTCAAGCGATCCATTTAGAAGTTTGTTTGTAATGTGATTTATGTGAGTGTGTGGGGGGAAGGGTGTGTGGGGGGAAGGGTGTGTGGGGTAGGTTGTGTGTGGGGGGAAGGGTGTGTGGTGGAGGGTGTGTGGGGAGGGGGTGTGTGGGGGAGGGGTGGGGGAGGGTGGGGAGGGGTGTGGGGGAGGGGGTGTGGGGGAAGGGTGTGTGGGGGAAGGGTGTGGGGGAAGGTGTGTGTGTGGGGAAGGGGTGTGTGGGGGGGGGTGTGTGTGGGGAGGTGTGGGGGAGGGGTGAGGAGGAGGGTGTGTGAAGGGGAACTTCGGTGTTATAAGAGAGAATTAAGGTTGGAATAAGAAAAACTTTGATTTTCTTGATTGGTTATATTTACACACACACACACATGTACACACACACACATGTACACACACGCACACACACACACACACACACACACACACACACACACGGTGGCTCTAGTTGATGATACCGTAATTAAGGTGCGATCCTTTAAAACTCTGGTGAGTTATAGCCCCCTGGCAACAATCTGTGTGTGTGTGTGCGTGTGCGTGTGCGTGTGTGCGTCTTCTCGTCCGTGTTTCTGTCCTCCCGTCCGTGTGTTTGTCTGCAGAGCCTTCAAGTATAATGTCACCAGATACCTGCCCCTCGCACACTGCGTTAAGATATCGGGTCTGGGCAAAATTCCGCTGTAATAAACCTCAGTCGTCGATCTGTTACTTGACTTCCCTGTATGTATGTGGTAAAACACGTCACCTTAGTTGCCTGTCCCTACGAGTGTTAGTCCGTCGCTCTTGGCAGCAGTAAACACTGTGTAAGGACATATTTATTGACTCTCTAGCTGAGTGAGGTAGGACTTTTGGTGTTCAGCTTTGTGTATATTTAAGTTTTAAAGATATAGGGTTAAGTTAGGTTAGTGTTGATGCTATATATTTATAGTCAATATTATAGTCGCCTGTATGATCATACCTTATGTACTAACCACACACACACACACGCACATTCTCTCTCTCTCTCTCTGGTGACATTTATTTCTCGCAGGTGAACAGTGGTTATCCTCCTACACCTGTCATTATCCATACATGCACACGTAGTCACCAGGTATTGTAAATATTCTAAAGTCAGGAAACCAAGAAAGAGTTTTCGGATCACAAGGTAAATACAGATGAGCCTGACCAGGTACTTCTAGCTCAGGGTATAAACAGCATTAAACACTCCTCGAACACGTCTACAGGAACAGGAAACTAACATTATCCTGATGAAACTCACTCCCTACCTACCTCCCCCTCCCTCCCTACCTACCTCCCCCCTACCCCTCCCTACCTCCCTCTCTACCTACCTCCTACCCCTCCCTACCACAGTTCACCCTCCGCCCTCCTCATAGATCATCATTCTACTCTAACTTCACCAGCCTGGGATTACTGAGGACGGTTACATTGAGCCGGTGGTGGTGAATGGTGGTTAGTGATGGTGGTAGGGAGTGATGAGTGGTGGTGAGTAACAGTATGGTAGCTGGCGTAGGAGGGCGTTACCGGTGGCCTTGGGTTAGGTGCGTCCTGGGCCACTTAAAGCCGATGACACATAAGTTACGTTCACTTCCCTAGACGTTTGACGGGACAACACCTTACTTATTCAGGGTGAGTCAAGCTACAGTACTAGTCAGTCAGTCTCCTCGGGGCGGCGCGGATATAACACACTGTAGCCTATACATTTTTTATTCAGTACAGTACACAAGAAGGAAGTGTGGCCGGGGAAAGCACTCGACAGCTCACATTCGTCTATCTGTAAAGTTAGTTGTCCAATCACTGCTGGATGGACAAGGGGGTACGACTAGCCGGAACCAAAGGACACAAGCCGAGTGTTGTATCTACTAAGCCACGGCACCATTCGTATTAATAGTAGACAAACGGTCTTGTTTAGTGGGCACTTAGTATGAACCAATAAAATTGGTCTTAATGGAACACTCATCGATATTATCAACTATATGTTCCATTAGCTGCCTCCTGTACACCATAATGCGGGTTTTTCTCTTTACTAAACACCAATATCACCACCAATAGATAAACAGTCGTAAAATAGCTACCTTTGTTCATATTTCACAGTAAATTCCTGAGTTACATACAGTACAGACTAATGGAGAATACAGTCGCATGAGACATATGAATGAGGGAGAATGTTTGTTTTTAATTACAACCTTTTGATCAAACTGAATCATCGAACCCAGAACTAAAAACCGGGTCTCAGTTTCCGATTTATTGGAGTTGGTGGATGATGTTAGGTTAGGTTAGGATAAGATTGGTTAGATGTGATTGGGGTTCCTGATCTGATTCACACACAGACAGCGGTACACACTAATTTCCTCAACATGTTTCTTCTCGCTCGCTTATTTACTTGGGTTATTTGGAGAAAAAAAAAGATGAACACTCCAGAAAATGAGAGAGGAAATATTTAGTAAGAATAACTTTGATTAACTGAGGTAATAATTAAGTTTTATTGGTTAAAATGTAACTTTGAAATGTTATATTCAACTCAAGTCAGTCCAACCAAACCTAACCTAACTTACCTACCTTGATTAATCTTGCATAACATTAATATTCTTACCATAATTGAGTGGGTAGTAATTAATTTACATGGAGTGAGTGAGGGAAGCGCTGGAGCCTTTTGGCGGTGTTGGTACAGAGAAGGGGTACTGTGGTTACACCGAGCGGGGTTAAGTTGACTAAAGTTGCACTGGGCGGGATTAAGTAAAATTACACTGGGCGGGGTTAAGTTAGGTTACACTAGGTGGGTTTAACTGCAAATTAAAATATCGACTAAACACCGCGTGTATGCAGTCGCCGTAAACCCAGCACACGATATATCCCTGAATATTTAAATACCTGTTATCAAGCACACAGTGAACACAAGGAGTATATAGGTGTGGTGGTGAGGAACTTACCGTAGAGGCCCAGCAGGAGGAGAAGGCACTGTAGCACCACCGTCTGAGTCATCCTGATGGCACGGGGAGGTCAGGTCAGGTCACCAGCTGAGCATGGTAGGTCACTCCAACAGGCAAGCACGTCAGGCTGTCCAGTAAGGTCAGGTCACTAGGTGAATATGACAGGTCACCCCAGGACAGGTCACCTCAACAACCAAGCATGACAGGTCACCTGCCCAGGTGGACCTGTCATTCGATAGGGTGACCAGTAAGGACGACAGATGACGACAGATGACCAACAAGTACGACAGTTGAGCACTGAGGACGTCAGGTGAACAGAAAAGACGATAGGTGACCAAGGACGACAGGTGACCAGGAACGACGACAGGTGACCAACGAGGACGACAGGTGACCAACGAGGACGACAGGTGACCAGGAACGACGACAGGTGACCAAGGACGACAACAGGTGACCAGTAAGGACGACAGAGGACGACAGGTACAGGCGACAGAAGTTAGTCGGTGAGGGCGAGACTCGCTAGTGTTACCACCACCTGAAAAATAATATCACTTGACTGTCACACACTAACTCACTTCTCTCTGTTCATTAAGTCACACATCAATTCTGCAGGTCACGCCTTGTTGGTCAGGTTTCCATGAACCATTAAGTGTGCATTAGTGATCATGGTTTTTGGTACAACACTGAGGCTCTGTACTGTACACTGAGCCTCTGTACTGTACACTGAGGCTCTGTACTGTACACTGAGCCTGCACTGTACACTGAGGCTCTGTACTGTACACTGAGCCTCTGTACTGTACACTGAGCCTCTGTACTGTACACTGAGCCTCTGTACTGTACACTGAGTCTGCACTGTACGCACACTCGCTACAAATAACATATATTACTCAATTAATATTAAGATTACTTCATTAATTTAGAAATGGTCAATAAAGAACAGTTTTGGTTGTAATAATTTGTCAACAAAAAACAATTTCAACAGGCAGAAGGAGATGTATAATCTACAATGCAATTTGAATACAATACAAGGTAATACGGTAGAAGTAGTAGTAATGTATTTTAGGTTACAAAGTCTTCCTCACAGGTGTAGAACTGTGACTGACGGTGAGGCGGACACTAGTGATATTACTGCACTAAATTTTAAATCAAATTTATTATTTTTTTTTTTCAATTTTTACTAGAATTTATTGAGAATGGTTATTGTTCACACACACGCCTTTCTCTAATGAAGGCTTTTGTTAAGCCACCAATGTATGTAATAAGTCATTTATGTCCAATGTATATTTTCAGCCTTCGGGCTGCAGAACTTTTTCAATAAACCGTTTATTATTATCATTATTATTATTATTACACACACACAGGTTCAGGTCACTCCCACCCCTGCCAGCTTGCCTCCCTCATTGTCTGTGTTTGCTATCACACCCCCCCCCCCCTGCGCACCAACCGCCAATGTACATAAGAATGGAGGAAACTGCAGCGGGCCTATTGGCCCATACTGGGCAGTCCCATTTACACCCAACCCCTATTGCTCATATAAGCATCCAACTTATGTTTGAAGCTATCCAGCGTGTTCGAGTTTGTGATGATATTTGGTAACTTGTTCCATTCATCCACTACTGTTTCCAAACCAGTGTTTACCAATTTCGCGCCTAAATCTAAATCTGTCTAATTTAAAACCATTGTCACGAGTTCGCTCCTGGTTGGATAGTTTGAGTACCTCATATAATACACTACCATATGTCATACCTTGCCCAGTCTTGACCTCACTCACCTCCTGGCTTACTTACCTTCCCCTCCCCCACCCCAGTGTTCAACCATTTGAAATCGCCAACAAACACCTGAAATTTAAATCCAAACGCTCCACAACCCCAATTGACCTCCCAATCAAAATATACAAGGAATTTGCAGTCGAACTTGCCACCCCTTCTGTTCTATTATTAATGCATCCCTCAGACAAAGCAAATGCCCTAATGAATGGAAAACCGCATTTGTCACCCCTATCCCCAAGGTCACCACCCCACAGTCCCCTAACGACCTCAGGCCAGTTGCCATTACCCCCATACCCAGTCTACTCTGTGAGGACTTTGTTTTTGAGTGGGCATTTGCCAGAATCTATCAGTTAATTGATCCACAGCAATTTGGCAATATGAGGACCTCCTCTACATCACATTGCTTAGTGCGCTTTCTGGATTTTCTGCACAGAAACCTGCAGAAACGTAAGACATCACTGGCCGTTGCCCTTGTTGACTTCAGGAAGGCCTTTGACCTTGTTGATCACTGCACTGTTATCAACAAGGCCATTGCACTAGGGCTGCCCACCAACCTGGTCTCATGGCTCACTGATTTCTTGAGTGGACGTCGCCAGGCAGTGAGGTATCAGGGCTCGGTCTCCACATTCCAACACCTCACCTGCGGTGTTCCCCAGGGGACCAAGATGGGACCACTGTGCTTCCTCATCCTGATCAATGACGCTCTATCGGACACTCCTCACAGGTGGAAGTACGTGGATGACTGCACTGTGGAGGTTTCAGTGGTCAACACGGCACCAGACTACTCATTGCTACAAGGCACCCTGGACAGGCTACAGGCATGGACTACGGAGAACAAGGTCACCATCAACCACACCAAAACAGTAGTCATGCACATCAATATCGCTGCCACTCCAGTGCAAGCCCCAGCAGTCGCAGTGGGTGCCCATCCTCTCCTGCTGGTGCAGTCTGCTAAACTCCTGGGTGTAACGATAGACAAGAAACTGGACTGGAAGGCCCATGTAAATAACACAGTCAGGCAGCCTCGTACCGTCTCTACATGCTACGACTACTTAGGTCACTTGGGACACCCACGCCAGAGCTGAGGACTATCTACAACGCCTTTATTCTCCCCAAATTAACGTATGCATCACCAGCCTGGTCGTCTTCTGTCAACTCTACCCAACAACCTCGGCTAGAGAAGGTACAGAAAAGGGCCTGCAGAATCATGCTCGATGCAGAATACTCCGGCTACTCCAACGCTCTCTCCACCCTGGAAATGCCATCCCTCAGTGACCACCACCACCAAGCACTGGAAAGGTTTGGCAGCCAACTAATGCACCACCCTTGTCATCGCCACCTCCTGCCGCCGGCAGCCCCCCACTCACCTTGCGCAGTCAGCCACTACAACAAAATTCAGCCCATAAGAGCCTGCACCGATAGATATAAGAATAGCACCATCCCATCTATTGTTAAAATAATAAACAACTCCTGATTTATGTACTGTACAGCCCTGTAAACGTATTCAATGCATATTATATCATCATGTCTAAATCAAATGTAAGTCTGTATATTTTCAGCCACCGGCTGCAACTCTATTAATAAACCGTTTATTATTATTATTATTATTACACACACACACACACAAACTTTAGGGTTTGACCTCAGACGTACACTCATATCCTACAGTACATGGCAATAGATCGAACGGACACACTCGTTACCCAGCTGCTATGTTCAGTATTTTTGTCAATCAAGTTTTATGCATAGTGTTATACCGTTGACTCGTATGCAGGAATATATTCGAGAATGTTGGAGTAAACAGAGGTGTGTGTGCGTATGTGACAGATTACCGCTAACACCAACGTCAAGAAAACTTACGACAGTCCTCCAGCTGTTGTTGTCACTAGTGTTGAGTCCAGAGGATTAGGAAGACACTTGGGAACGTGTCTCCTCTAGCACCTTGGGACGCGCACACACAATGCTTCTCTCTCTCTCTCTCTCTCTCTCTCTGTATGTAGCGCTAATTACGGTATAAATAGTGGACTGAACTACCTGTCAGCACAAACACCAAAAAGGAAATTGTTTAAAAAATATAATGTTGTTTTCACTCAAGACAAGAGAAAGACAACGTGTTAGGATGTTCTCGTGTTCATTAGCGAGATCTTAACGAACTGAAATACACAAGAGGAATGAATGGTATCGTTAATTAAGGTGTATAACGAACCGTCCTCGGCACCGCAAGAGACATTTATAATAGCAAGATGTTCGTTATTAAGAAAATAATATGTACAGCGAGAGGAACTGAGTTAAGTAATTATTTTTTAAGGGGCACGAACCTATCAAACTTTATCAGAAACTTATGTAAAATTGTCTTAGTGACTTTTGGTTAGGTTAGGTTATCTTAGGTTAGGTTGTGTCAGGTTATGTTAGATTATCTCGTTAGGTTAAACGACGTTGGGTTAATATAGGTTAAGTTAGGATAGCTTAACTTAATAACATAAGAAAATAAGGAGTCTGCAATAGGCCGGTTGGCCTGTGCATGGCAGCTCCTGTCGAGAGTTACTACCACTCTCTATCATCCATGAATCTATCCAGCCTCCTTTTGAAACTTTCCAGCATTCCAGCACTTACTACAAAGTTGCTAAGCTTGTTCCACTCGTCCACCACCCTATTTGTGATCCAGTTCCTTCCTATCGCCCTCCTAAACCTAAACTTATCCAACTTAAATCAGTTGCTCCGAGTCCTATCCTGCTCGGATATTATAAGAACTTTATCTATATCGCCTTTATTGATTCCTTTCACCCACTTAAATACTTCCATCATATCTCCCCGCACTCTTCGTCTTTTTAGGGAATGCAAGTTTAGTTTCTTTAACCTATCCTGATATGGAAGGTTTCTAAGTCCCGGAATCATTTTCGTCATTCCTCGCTGCACCGACTCTAGTGAATTGATATCCATTCTATAATAAGGGCACCAGAACTGAACCGCATAATCAAGGTGCGCCTGACTAGCGCAAGATATAGTTGCAATAAGTCCTCTGCACTCTTATTACTTACGTTGGGTTAATTTAGGTTAGATTAGGATAGCTTAGGTTAGGTTGTGTTTGGTTGGGTTAGGATATAATAGTTTGAGGTAAGTTAAGGTTAGGTTGATGTAAGCTCATCTGTTTAAAACCAGAACAATGAATGAACTGGAATATTCCTCCTGGTTTCTCCCCAAGGGATTATCTTACTGGTGGTCTGACACCCAGCAGGCAGAGTCGTGGACCCCTGTGACGACACCCAGCACCCCCATACCCGCCCGGAGTGTTAGAGAGGAGGTACCGAGCCCTCAGAGCCTCCTACAGTACATAAGAACATAAGAATGGAGGAAACTGCAGCGGGCCTATTGGCCCGTACTGGGCAGTCCCGTTTACACCCAACCCCTATTGCTCATATAAGCATCCAACCTATGTTTGAAGCTATTCAGCGTATTCGAGTTAATGATGATATTTGGTAACTTGTTCCATTCATCCACTACTCTGTTTCAAAACCAGTGTTTACCTATTTCACGCCTAAATCTAAATTTGTCTAATTTATATCTATTGTTACGAGTTCGCTCCTGGTTGGATAGTTTGAGTACCTTTGTAATGTCCCCTTTGTTTCGCCCTGACTTCCACTTATACTGTACACCTCTATCAGGTCGTCCCTCGCTCTACGTCTCTCGAGGGAGTGCAAATTAAGATGCTTTAACCTGTCTCTATACTCAAGGTTCCTAATGCCCGGTATTAGTCTTGTCATTCTCCTCTGAATTCTTTCCAATGATTTTATATCCATTCTGTAATACGGTGACCAGAACTGAACTGCGTAATCCAGGTGTGGTCTCACAAGAGCAAGATACAGTTTTATGATGACCTCGCTAGTCTTGTAACTAACACTCCTTTGTATGAACCCAAGTACTTTATTAGCCATGTTTCGAGCAAAAACACATTGTTTACTTGGCTTAAGGTTCCTACTTATCATTACTCCTAAATCTCTCTCGCAGT